ACCACCACCACCACCCCCCCCACCGCCCCCCCCCCCACCACCCCCACCACTACCCCCACCCTCATCACCACCTCCACTGCCCCACCATCACCATCCCCACTACCACCACCACCGTTGCCACACCTTAGCTCCATTGCCATCCCACCACTACCACTGCCACCAACACCCCACCGTCACCGTCGACATCACCACCACACTCCGTCGCCACCTCACCCCCCTGTCATCGCCACCCACCATCGATTGTTACCACTGCCACAACCCACCGCCATCGTCCTCTTATTTTTATATTTATACCATTACTACTATCATCTGTTGCCCACCATCACTCACTACCATAACTCACCACCATCCGTCGTCGCTCACCATCACCACCAACTATTATCACCCACCCCCACCACACCTACCACTACCACCCATCATCGCCCATCACTACAGCCACCCACTGTCACCGCCCATCACCATTGTCGTTGCCCCACCACCACCACTGCCAACTACTATCACTGTCGTCCACCATCACCCATGCACACCACCACTACTACAATCACCCACAATTGTCACTACCACCATCATCACTCAAAGTATGGATATTTTAAAAGGGTTAAAGTATCGGCATCGGATACTTCTCGGATACAGATACGTGTTTTATGCGGTTGGATACATATCTGATACGGCTGAGAAGTATCTTAAAATTAAAAAAATAAATTTGATTTTCGGATACGACTGGATATGCTTTGGATACGAATGAGATACACATAAGGATACGGTGAGGTATTACTTGAATTTTAAAAAAAGTATAGGGGCACAATAGCAAATATATTTGGGCCCTTATTGGCAAATATATGTATATATATAAAACCCTAATTCTACAACCCCTCATCAACGATCGACTTACTCTATCGCTTTCTCACTCTCTCTCTCTCTTGATTGATTGACCGACTGTATTTGATGCCGATCAACGATGAGTATCTCCTCTTTCACCTCCAACGACCCGTATTTGACCCTGACAGCATCTCTTGACGACGAAAAATATCCTATCTCTTTGAGTGCAAGTATATCGGGTAAGCTGTCTCCTCTCTTTCTATTTTTCTGTCTCTCTATTGTCTCTTTTTCCTTTTACCAGTGATTAGCACTCTTTTTGAGCCTTGAATTAGGAAAACATCTTAGTAACAAGAGGGGACTGTTTTGTTGCTTGACTTGTAATAATATAATATTCTAAATTGCAAGTTTTTTGTTGCTTGACTTGTAATAATATAATATTCCAAATTGCAAGTTTTTTGTTGCTTGACTTGTAATCAGATGGTTTCTTTTGTTTAAGCATGGACTTGATATTATGCAACATGTATGTAATATATAATGTATGATTTATGAATGATAGAATAGTTAGTTATTATTATATATCTTTGGTATATGTGTGATTCACTTTATAAATCATAATTATTACATTAAATATAATAATAAAATTTTAAAATATATATATTTTATGAATGTATCTTAGCCGTACCTGTATCTTTTTTTTTAGATTTTATCGTATCGTCGTATCTGTATTATATCGTATCTGTATACCGTATCCGTATCCGTGTTTCATAACTCAACTCACCACCACCATCACTGTTGCTACTCACGGCTACCACTACCACCACCATGATCGTCGTTACGCACCACAACCATCACCGTCTTCCACCACCACCACTACCACCACTCACCCCTACTACCACCGCTCACCCCCACTACAATTGGTATTTAAATTCATTTCACACTCCTTTATATTTGTGATTTGATTTTGAGTGTGAATACAAATATGTTTATTGTTAATCATTTTTTTATTATTCTGTGCATTCAGGTACAGAGAATAACTAGTCAATCTATATTACTAACAAAAATATTTTATGTAAAAATTTTTTAATTAACTATTTTACCTTTATAAAAAAATTTAAATACCACATTATATTTTCATAGTTAAATATCTAAATTACAATCACAACCTTATGTATTTATATCTTCAAATTACCCTCTAACATCTTTTAATTCTCTATTATTTTTGTATAAATATTAATATCTATGAAAATTGTTAATTGACTACATAACCCTTAAAATATGTGCATCATTATAGTTTTCAATAACATGTACAAAAAAAAAAAAATTATTGATGCATGGTGTTGTCTTGTTCAAAAAAAAAAAAATAACATGTTCAAAAAGTCTATAAATAGATTATTACTCTTTTCAAATAAAAAAATAATATTATGTCTATATATGTATTTTTTTTCCTTCTATACTACTAATAAATATATATACTATACTAATAAAAGTACCTTAGAATGAAAAACTTTTAATTTATNGTGTGTTTAATTCATGAAATAATGTGTGTGCGTGTGTTTAATATAGAATTTAGTGTGTGTGTGTGTGCTTGGTTCTTTACTAGAACCGTAAGTGGGAGTGAACAAGAGAGGAAGAAGAAAGAAAACAAAAAAGAAGAAAGGAAGAAGAACGTGGGGACTCTATGCCAAACCAATAGTAGGAAGAAAATAAGAAGAAGGTAAGGGTGTATGTGTGTGTTCATTTTAGTGTGTGTGTGTGATTAATTTTAAGTATTTGTGTATATGTGTGAGAATTGGTTCNATTAAAAGTTTAAATAATAAAAATTATAGTGTATTTTTAAGTAAAACTTGAATTTTAATTTTAATAGCACTTTTAGTCCCTCAAATATGTATATTTTATCAGTTTGGTCCTAATTGTATCAATTTTATTAATTTAGTCTTTAAAATATTTAGTTAATGTTTAAATTATATATACATAGACAATCTGTTAAATTTTTGACAGAAATAATCACGTGTTGATCATGTAATGCTATCACTTTCGATAAAAAATTTAATGAACTGTCTGGTTTAAACCCATTTACACAAGAATTGAATGTTTATTGACCAAATTGATAAAATTCATATATTGAGGACGAAATTGACAAAAAAAGCATATTTTAGAGACTCAAAGCGTTACTCACCTTATATTTTATCCTTATTAACCTAATTAATTTATAATTATAATAAGTATTAATTAAAATATTGACAATTATAATTATTTTATTCAATAAATTATAAGTTAAAACTTAATCACATGAATTATTTTTGTCTCTTATAGGAAGAACAATGAATCACTGAGACACTTTTTTTCAAATTTTATAGTATAATGCGAACAATAAAGATATAATTTTGATAAATTTGAGATTATATTTAAAGTAAATACACATATATCTAATATTTTTTTATTAATATTTTGTATATTAAAATTATTTACGTACAACGGACGTGTTGCATTGCTAGTAAAACAAAATAGTAAAACAAAAAAGAGCGGTAAGGTGTTTAACCATTCTCCAGAAACCAGTGTTAACCTTTACCAAAGCTTGCTATATATATAAACTGCATAAACAGAAGGCCTTCATGCCAAACCAAGATCTCGAGCATGATCCTGGACAACAGCCAAGTTAAGCAGATAACTCACAACTTGCTTCATTGTTGGTCGCCTTGATGGATCATATTCCACACATTGCATTGCTATCTGTGTAATCCGAGGTCCGTCACTCGAAACAAAATCTGGATCAGCCTCCAAGCTGTGATGCACAAGTGAGCAGCTACCCATGATGGACTTTTTTTCTGTGTGTTGGCTCTGGGCCCACTGGTGAAGAAAAGGTTCATCCACATTCGATCTGCCTTTCTCCTTGTGGACTCTTTTGGTAATCAACATCATAAATAATACGCCAAATGCAAATATGTCACTTTTTTCCGACCATCCACCTGCCAATAGATTCTCGAGGTTAATCATTCAGCGAACATTATAAAAAACATTATTTTGAAAATGAAAAAGCAAAAATCAATCTAGGAGAATAATAGCCCAATGATTGAATACAGGGATAATGTCAGGCAGGACCCAATTTCCTATGTTGCAAAGAACTTTAGATTCAGAACACAAGCACACAAAAGATGTTGAATCCAAATCTGAACATTGACCAAGAGATACAGACGTTAGAAGGAAAAGCATTTCAGAAACGCAACTATACCAGAATTTGTTTTGTACATGATTCCGGGATGGGAACTGCAAGTTTCAAGCGGAAAGATGTTATGAATGTAAATCCTCTTCTCTTTCCTGAGCAAAATACAAGAGTTTTTAAACCATGGTTTCTCTTCTAAGCCCATATTTTGTATTATACTCATCCAGAAAAAAGAATTTTGCATTTTGCCTAAATTGCAATCTTTTCAAACAGGAAAAGCCACTTTCTTATGTGAGGATATCACGCAGGCAGAGGAAATTTGTAGGTGTGAAAACCGTTACCTAGAAAACTCTGCTATGGTGAACCAACAGAGATGGCTGCCAAGAGTCAAATTCAACTAGATGCAGAGTGTCATTTTTGGGAGGGTGGATTGTAATTGAAGGTCTACCATTCCAGTTGTGGTATAGCACCTTGAAGAAGATTTACGGTTATTGTGGTGGGCTTATGGATATTGGTTGTCAAACTGAGAATTGCATGAATCTGTATCAAGCTAGAATTCGGGTCCACAAGCCACAATCCGGGTTTCTCAAGACATCTTTCGATGTCGATTTCTATGGGAAAATTCTCCCATTAAAATTAGGGTTTTCTCGAACCAACAAAGACTCGGGAGTTATGGACAACAGAGGCTGTAAGGATCCCAATGGTGTGGAGCTATTAATGGATGAAATAAGGCCCTTGATTGCTCTAATTCCCGAGACACTTATGTGCTACAGAATCTGAATCAAAAATAATATTTTATAGTTTCAAGATTCTACAGTATGTAGTATGTGAGATCCGATCATGGATTGCATACATATTAGCATAATTATGTGGACAAATTACAATTATGTGAAATTACTTATTAAATAGAATTTTGTGCATACAATTAGTATTGGGTTGATTTTGAAATCACTTAAGAATTTGGGGGGAGACAAATAAAAATATTAAAATTCATGAAATATCTATATCCATGTGTCAAGGCTAAGGTCGTGGGTTATTTTGGAAAAGTCAAGTACATGTGTGTGTGTGTCAGGTGTATGTGTGTGTCTTAAGGTGCAATAAAATGTGTGTTTAATTCATGAAATAATGTGTGTGCGTGTGTTTAATATAGAATTTAGTGTGTGTGTGTGTGCTTGGTTCTTTACTAGAACCGTAAGTGGGAGTGAACAAGAGAGGAAGAAGAAAGAAAACAAAAAAGAAGAAAGGAAGAAGAACGTGGGGACTCTATGCCAAACCAATAGTAGGAAGAAAATAAGAAGAAGGTAAGGGTGTATGTGTGTGTTCATTTTAGTGTGTGTGTGTGATTAATTTTAAGTATTTGTGTATATGTGTGAGAATTGGTTTAGTATAATTTCAAAGCATATTTTGGTGAGGTTAAATTAAGTGTATTAAACATAATTAGTGGGCTATTTTGTGTTAAAATGATGGGCTGATTTATTTTAAGTTTAAAAAAATATTTTATTAAGGGTGTTACACAAAATTAGGGGCAGTTAAGAAGGGGTATTAAATGGGTACTCAACTGAGTGTACGAAAAGTGTAAAAATGAGCATTAGAGATATTCAGGAAATATTTAGTGGGCTAGGTTGAAAACGAAAATTTTGGGAATGAAATGGGTGGTTTAAAGGCTCAATTAGGGGCTGTTTTACATTGATTAAATATGTATGTGAATTTAAGTGTAGTGGTTTTAAAAGAAAAGTATGATAGAAATTGAAAATGGGTGCCAGTAACGCCGAAACCCTAATTTCTAAATGTTATGTGAATTTTAATCCAAATGACCTGAAATTTTGCATGCATTACTTTTAAATANTTGACAAAAAAAGCATATTTTAGAGACTCAAAGCGTTACTCACCTTATATTTTATCCATATTAACCTAATTAATTTATAATTATAATAAGTATTAATTAAAATATTGACAATTATTATTATTTTATTCAATAAATTATAAGTTAAAACTTAATCACATGAATTATTTTTGTCTCTTATAGGNTAAATGTTATGTGAATTTTAATCCAAATGACCTGAAATTTTGCATGCATTACTTTTAAATAATGCTTGATGTGATAATGTAAATTTAGAATGCAAATGAATATAATATCTAATGCGAAATGTATGAAATATCGAAAGTACAATTTTTGGGATTCAGGATCGAAATGTGTGAAAATGGGCCCCGGTCAATGTGTTTGACTTACTAAATCTTAATTGTGANATTTTGATAAATTTGAGATTATATTTAAAGTAAATACACATATATCTAATATTTTTTTATTAATATTTTGTATATTAAAATTATTTACGTACAACGGACGTGTTGCATTGCTAGTAAAACAAAATAGTAAAACAAAAAAGANAAAATATGATCCCTAAATCTAATGTGTCAGTATGTGAGTGAACAGTGTGATAATCAGAGCTACCGGGACACTTTAGGTTGAATCTTCTTGCATGCATTAGTGCATGATTAATTATTCAATGTGATAAACATATTAATATTGATGTGTTAGGTGGAACATGTAGGATAGTTGGTATAGAGACGACTACGAAAACACCAGAAGGATCCACTGATAGAACCAAAGGGACTTAGATCGAAATATTTGAGGTGGGTGTATATCTTTATATGTATTAAAAATGCTATTATAAGATGATGTTAGATGATAGTATTTAATAGCATTTCTCTAGAATTATGTGCTATATGCTTATGTGATTGGATGATGCTTTGTATTGTGCATTGTGTATTGTGTATTGTGAAATGTGGTGCATTGTTTGAGACATGAGCGTGGATGTCTGATCAGTGGACGTACAATAGTGTGCTAGCACTGTGGTGTTCCTGGGAGGTTCGGGAGACACGAATCCATGTGGGATCGATTATCCAATGAGGGGTAGTATGGATGTGTTGTGGCTTGTGAATGTTTTGGAATTGGATTGATATTATTGGTTGATACGTGTATTTACGTAGTATTTACCTACTTCTATGTATTACTATCATTTTTATTTCATATAAGACATGTACACTCACTGAGCACGTGGTTTAGCTCACACCCCAATAGCTTCTCCTTTTCAGGTACAAGAGAGGGAGACACAAATCAGTCCACTGTCAAATATGGTTGAGTTTTGTACAATGTTAGTATGATATTCTGTTCTTTATGTATTTACTTTTAAATAAGTCAATGATACTGGTTGAGGGACTGTATAATTATAAGTTGGATTGTATATTATGTTAATGATAGATTATTATAGCAGGTTAATAGTATATATTTGTAAACAGACTCAACAAGCATACTCTGTGATGTATGCTATGTGGGTGTGAAATTTTGTATCTGTTTATAACTTCGGAAGCAAACAATTGGTACATGTATTATATATGGTATAGGTTATGAGATAGGTTTACCATCATTCTTATTAACTAAGGCGATGAGTGGTATTATTGCACCTGTGAGATTAATTAGTGTTTTATTAATTTAGATTATATATATGTAAACAGGTGTATCAAAAAATCTAGTCGCGTCTTATCCTTGAGAGACCGAGATGGGGCGTGACATAGTATGTGATGCACGATTGATTATCTTCCAAAATAAGGTTTTTTGATTAGATTGTAATCATATATTTAGGTTGCATTATATTATAAAACAATAAACATACACAAGTAGTCATTTTTACAGTGATGTATCCATACCAGCCATCTTTCGGTCAAGAGAGTTTGGAACGTAATGCAAAACCAAGAATACCTCCCCTGATAATCTAGCATTTCCTTCCAGTTTTATAATGTGAGAATGATGTAGGTAGGTTCAACATTTGACTTCAACCTGTCAAATAAAAAGTTACTTATTATCTTGTATAAATAGACTATTAGATTTTTACACTAATTATCTTGTACGTCGTCTTGATTATTTTTCTCCTTTGAATACTTCTTCACGACAACATCTCTATGATGTAGTGTGCCCCAGTAGATTGTGTCATTGTAGCTAAGTCCATCTCCTATTTGATTTTAGAAATCATCCGTAATTTCAAAAATTTGCTCAATTGAGAAAACTTTTGGATTCATAATCCCAAAAAACTACAATAGTCACAAAGACAATTGAAATTAATTATAAGAAATCATTGATTAAATCAAAATTCTCTTGAAACAACTATCAATAAGGATATGCATTGCTGCGATTAATAAAAGATTAATAACGAGCAATCCAAGGTAATAAGACACAAAACCATAAAACAGTCCCATAGAGATTGCACAAAATAAATGATTAATTTGTGCATTCTCAAAAAAATTTGATACACTTTCTTAAACTACCATTATCATCATAAATATTTTTGCAAGTATTATTCAAGATCAAGGGGGAAAGGGGAAAAGGGAAATACAAAAAAATTGATATAACAAATCATAGTAATGTAAATTGTCTTATACTCACCTCTTGTACTAAGATGTTATCAGGTTTAAGATCATTGTGTGCCTNTATACAAATAAATCAAGATAATTACATCTGATTTATTCAATCCAAAAATAAAACATTTATTTTAGAGGGTTAGTGGACCCCTAATTTATGAAAAAAAGAAAAAACTAGAACCATTTTTAAAAAAAAAATTGGATTTTTTTTTGTGGGGGGGGGGAACTGCCCACCCCTGTCCCCACGTGGCTCCGCGCCCTGGAGAGAAAACACTTAATCTTTCCTGTTTCTAGAACATAATAGGGTGGCCTCAAGAGAACTTAAGTAACCTATTCACCGAGGAGGTTCTGTCATGACCTGTTAACCTCTAGAAACGAGAAATTAATATATATTTCTCTCCTGACTTTCAAATTACAATATCAAACTAGTAGCCTCTAAAACCTAGGGAACTATCCCTAGCCCACAAGTGATTCAATTTTCTTAGTCCAAGATTGTTGAAAAGACAAGTTCCATAGAAGTAGAAGACCAGCTGCAGCAAAACCATCAAGGTGATCCCTTTGCAGCTGGATCAAAATTGCAGGACTAGAATAATAAATATTCTGCAAGATTTTAGTTCTGGTGGGACAGTCAAAATGATTCCACAAGGAAATGCAATGCCTCGTGCTGAGAATCCTCCATATAGTACATGTTAAGTGTGGAGAATTAACACAATATTAGAGAAAACAGAGAGAGGTTAAAATTTAACCTACCTCTCATACATCACTTATATTTATAGTTAACCTACAATAATAAGAATTACATATACA